AAACTCAGAGTGCTTCGGTAGGGTTAGGAGGGCACTGACTTTTCTAGGCTGCCCTATCTATGTTTGCTGGGAAAATACATGGGAAAATCCCATTGGAGAAAAACTCCACTTAGGGTTAGGGTTACCTCACCATGAGCTCCTAGAGCAAAATGGACATCCCCAACAAACTCAGAGTACTTGGGTAGGGTTAGGAGGGCACTGACTGTTCTAGGCTGCCCTTTCTATGTTTCTGGTAAAATACATGGGAAAATCACATTGGAGAAAAATTCCACTTAGGTTTAGGGTTACGTCACCATGAACTCCTAGAGCAAAATGGACATCACCAACAAACTCAGAGTGCTTGGGTACGGTTAAGAGTGCATTGACTTTTCTAGGCTGCCCTTTCTATGTTTCTGGGAAAATACATGGGAAAATCACATTGGAGAAAAATTCCACTTAGGGTTAGGGTTACGTCACCATGAACTCCTAGAGCAAAATGAACATCGCCAACGAACTCAGAGTGCTTGGGCATGGTTAGGAGGGCACTGATTTTTCTAGGCTTCCTTATCTATGTTTCCTGGTAAAATACATGGGAAAATCTCATTGGAGCAAAATTCCACTTAGGGTTAGGGTTACATCACCGTGAACTCTTAGAGCAAAATGGACATCGCCGACAAACTCAGAGTGCTTGGGTAGGGTTAGGAGGGCACTGACTTTTCTAGTCTGCCCTTTCTATGTTTCCTGGTAAAATACATGGAATCCCATTGGAGGAAAATTCCCCTTAGGGTTAGGGTTACGTCACCATGACTCTTAGAGCAAAATGGACCATTGCCACGAACTTGGAGTGCTTCGGTATATGTAGGAGAGGGCACTGACTTTTTCTAGGCTGCCCTATTCTATGTTTCCTGGTAAAATACATGGAAATCCCAATTGGAGAAAATTCCACTTAGGGTTGGGTTCTTCACCATGAACTCCTATAGCCAATGGACATCGCCAACGAAAAAGAACTCCGAGTGGCTTGGGCATGGTTTAGGAGGGCACTGATTTTTCTAGCTTCTTATCTATGTTTCCTGGTAAAATACATGGAAAAATCCCATTGGAGAAATTCCATTTAGGGTTAGGGTTACATCACCATGAACTCCTAGAGCAAAATGGACATCACCAACAACCTCAGAGTGCTTGGGTACGGTTAAGAGGGCACTGACTTTTCTAGACTGCCCTTTCTATGTTTCTGGTAAAATACATGTGAAAATCCCATTGGATGAAAATTCCTCTTAGGGTTAGGGTTACGTCACCATGAACTCCTATAGCAAAATGGACATCACCAACGAACTCAGAGTGCTTGGGCATGGTTAAGAGGGCACTGACTTTTCTAGGCTGCCCTATCTATGTTTCTGGTAAAATATATGGGAAAATCCCATTGGAGGAAAATTCCATTAGTTAGATCGCCAACCAACTCGTAGTGCTTGGGTATGGTTAGGAGGGCACTGACTTTTCTAGGCTGCCCTATCTATGTTTCCTGGGAAAATACATGGGAAAATCTCATTGGAGGAAAATTCCACTTAGGGTTAGGGTTACGTCACCATGAACTCTTAGAGCAAAATGGACATTGCCAACGAACTTGGAGTGCTTCGGTATATTTAGGAGGGCACTGACTTTTCTAGGCTGCCCTATCTATGTTTCCTGGGAAAATACATGGGAAAATCTCATTGGAGCAAAATTCCACTTAGGGTTAGGGTTACGTCACCCTGAACTCTTAGAGCAAAATGGACATCGCCGACAAACTCAGAGTGCTTGGGTAGGGTTAGGAGGGCACTCACTTTTCTAGTCTGCCCTTTCTATGTTTCCTGGTAAAATACATGGGAAAATCCCATTGGAGGAAAATTCCACTTAGGGTTAGGGTTACGTCACCATGAACTCCTATAGCAAAATGGACATCACCAATGAACTCAGAGTGCTTGGGCATGGTTAGGAGGGCACTGATTTTTCTACGCTTCCCTATCTATGTTTCCTCGTAAAATACATGGGAAAATCCCATTGGAGGAAAATTCCACTTAGGGTTAGGGTTACGTCACCATGAACTCTTAGAGCAAAATGGACATTGCCAACGAACTTGGAGTGCTTCGGTATATTTAGGAGGGCACTGACTTTTCTAGGCTGCCCTATCTATGTTTCCTGGTAAAATACATGGGAAAATCTCATTGGAGCAAAATTCCACTTAGGGTTAGGGTTACGTCACCATGAACTCTTATAGCAAAATGGACATCGCCGACAAACTCAGAGTGCTTGGGCATGGTTAGGAGGGTACTCATTTTTCTAGGCTGCCCTAGCTATGTTTCCTGGTAAAATACATGGGAAAATCCCTTTGGAGGAAAATTCCACTTAGGGTTAGTGTTAGGTCACCATGAACTCACAGAGCAAAATCGACATTGCCAACCAATTCGGAGTGCTTGAGTATGGTTAGGAGGGCACTGACTTTTGTTCCTTGCCCTATCTATCTTTCCTGGTAAAATACATGGGAAAATCCCATTGGAGGAAAATTCCACTTAGGGTTAGGATTAGGTCACCATGAACTCATAGAACAAAATGGACATCACCAATATATTAGGAGTGCTTGGGTATGGTTAAGGGCACTGAATTTTGTAGCCTGCCCTATCTCGCTTTCTTGGTAAAATAGGCATGGGAAATACCATAGGGTTAGGAAATGGCCACTTAGGGTAAGGTTTAGGTCACCATAAACTCATATAGCAAAATGGATCATCAGGGAAAATCAACCACTTAGGGTTAGGATTAGGTCACCATGAACTCATAGAACAAAATGGACATCACCAATATATTAGGAGTGCTTGGGTATGGTTAAGGGCACTGAATTTTGTAGCCTGCCCTATCTCGCTTTCTTGGTAAAATACATGGGAAATACCATAGGAGGAAAATTCCACTTAGGGTAAGGTTTAGGTCACCATAAACTCATATAGCAAAATGGACATCACCAACAAATTCAGAGTCCTTTGGTATGGATAGAAGGGCACTGACTTTTGTAGCCTGCCCTATGTATGTTTCCTGGTAAAATACATGGGAAAATCCCATAGGAGGAAAATTCAACTCAGGGTTAGGGTCAGGTCACCATGAACTCATAGAGCAAAATGGACATCGACAACAAACTTGGAATGCTTGGATATAGTTAGGCGGGTACTGACTTTTGTTGCCTGCCCTATGTATGTTTCCTGATAAAATACATGGGAAAATCCTATTGGAGGAAAATTCCACTTAGGGTTAGGGTTAGGTCACCAAGAACTCATAGAGCAAAATGGACATCACCAACAAACTTGGAATGCTTGGATATGGTTAGGAGGGGAGTTAGTTTTTTACCCTGCCCTATCTTTGTTTTCTGGTAAAATACATGGGAAAATCCCATTGGAGGAAAATTCCACTTAGGGTTAGGGTTAGGTCACCATGAACTCATAGAGCAAAATGGACAGCACCAACAAACTCGGAGTGCTTGGATATGGTTAGAAGGGGACTTACATTTCTAGCCTGCCCTATCTATGTTTCCTTGTAAAATACATGGGAAAATCCCATAGTAGGAAAATTCAATTTAGGATTAGGGTTAGGTCACCATGAACTCATAGAACAAAATGGAAATCACCAAAAAACTCAGAGTACATGGATATGGTTAGGAGGGCACTTACTTTTCTAGCCTGCCCTATCTATGTTTCCTGATAAAATACTCCCTCGCCTGAATTACTTTTTCACTGTTTTATGTGCATTCACCCAAGTATAAAAACATTGCCACAAAATAAATGTCTAAGTTGTCTTTCCCATTTCCTGAGCCCTGAGAGTTGATGCTAAGTTTATGGTGCATAATCAAAAGAATATAGCTTTCCAAAAAGACCTTGAGAACAGAGCATGCTTTCTTCGAAGTAAAAAAGCAGAAGCTAGAGAACAATTTAATAAGGATGCTGGAACATTTCTGATAGATCCCATCAATTGCTCTTATTAAACACCTTCAATTCCCACCACGATAACAAAACAAAAGGCCATCCTCACCCGCCACCCTGAATTTTTATATGTTTACAAGCATTCTACTATCACCAACCAAGCTAGGTTTTAAAGTCTTAAAGTTCCAATATCTCACCTGCATCTACCTTGAAAATTACTTGTACTACACACTCCAATAGTTTAGAACCACGAATGATTCTATCATTCGTAAGATTGTATGGGCTTCCTGAAAAATTATCCTGATTAGAACTACTTTTATTTTTTTTCCAATGCTACACCTGTATTTGTCCATAATATATCTTTCTTTGTTGTTCTGGGTAAATATATTCACCATTAGTATCCTCTTGCATGTGCATCATAACTCTGGAGAATTAGGGGTGTCCCACCACAATGGCAGGTAGCCTTTGTCAGATTGCCTCAGAAGAATTCAACTTCTGACAACTACCCAAGAGGGAATATAGCCCTGACTAACCCTAACCCTCATTCTCTCTATCTAGAGAAGAAACAAATCACCATAAGCTCTCTTTTTGGCTTTTCCTAATAACATCAATGAAACAGATATCAACAAACCTTGAGTTATACCTTCAAAAATGCCTCTTTTTAGAAAAAGACTTAGATTTTAGGTTTTTTTAAAACAGAGACCATTTTAAAGGCATTGATCAAGTTTATTGACCTTTGATAATATTATGTATCTATACATAAAAAAGAATCTTGTAACTCCTTTTTCCTTTGTTTTCAGCTACCGCATTTGCTTTCCCCAAATACTATATAATGTTCATTTGTTTCTAGGAAGTGGGAAGTGCCCAATGATGAAAAGAACGAAGGCACTTCTTTAATGTAAAAAGCTTGAACATGCTCTTTTTTCAAGATATTACTGGTTTACATCATCTTGATTACCATTACTTATGGATCCATTCAGGGGTTAGATTATCATCAATGTTTATCATGAGCATACTCCAGATAATCCCAATTCCCCATCCTTCAGTATTATTCCAATGACGTTTTGGGGTTGCTACTACACTTGTTGTCACTCCACCTGACCCCAACTGCTCTGGATGGTATAATGCTTGAACAGAATTCATATGGATCCTGATTTCTATGAGGAGGCATCATTTAAAAAAAAAAAAACTAGAAGCCTTGAGATTATTATTCTTTCTTGCAATCATACTACTAAATGATTGTGTGAGGTGCACATATCCTTACTGTCCCATATCTGTTTGACCCAGTATATACATATAGCTAATAATACTTTATACATTTTAATACAATGCTTTTTAACAATTTCTTTCCAAAAATTATAGATTCATTGACTGAAAGCATCAGTGTTCACAAATTTCAAGACCTGTCATTGTATGACTTTGTGTGGAATTCATCTTCACTGGAAATCAGTGATAATGAACACTAAGGGATCCCTCCGCTGTTGCCAAAATACTCAGCCTACGAACTGTTATCCAGAGGTGATTGTGTAATTTCTTTCCCTTGGATGTTGAGTTCTGTATATATTGGCTTGTTCTCAGTAAGAGTTTGTTTGCCAAGATCCAATTTGGACAAACCTCAGCAGTATTAGGGACGATTCTACAATTAAAATTCAGGGTGTATTCTGTGTATTTTCTAGCATGAAATCTATGTAGAGCAGATATCATTAATTGACCTTTATAGGTCTAAAGTACATAATTCCAGACTGGATAATGAGAAAAATGTTATAATAAATTATACTTTCAGCATGTTTTTCAGTGGCCAAATAAGTAGCAACAATGATCACTGTAAAATGGTTTGCATCTTATTTTTCTGTTCCTTTTAAGAATGCAAGGATATTTTTCTGTCCTTGCCTTTATGTAAAATATCTTATTTTTATAAGATATTTTTATTTCAATCATTAAGATCTTACTGCAGTAAGTTTCATACATTGTACAGTACATTTTTATTAAATACAGTTTATCTACATTTTTATGATTATCTTAGCAAGTGGTACAATAGTGTACTGTATATCATACATACCCACCGATAAGCTGAGTTTGTTGGAATAAGACAATAAGGCTACATACACACACACACACAAATACATATAAAGATAAATCACTGTCCATCTCAGATTTACTAATTTTAATAAAAGGAAAGTCTTCCTTCCAGGCTTCTCACCAAAAGATAGAAAGATTTTCAAAGGGAGCAAGGAGATACTGTCCAATTTTCTTTTAAAAAAAAGAATATTCAAGAAAAAAGCAAAAGTGAAGCATTTAATATCTTTATGTCAATAATTTGTTATAATTGCCATTCTTTGATTAATAAGCATAGGTATATGAATATGTGGCTGGGCAAGTATCAACATTTTTGCAAGCACTGCTTGTAAAATAATCATTTCTGAGATCGATTTCTGGTGTCGGGTTTTTTTTAAAGTTACTTTTTCTTAACAATTATGTCATAAATCTTATGATATTTGAGATCGTCAAATATTTTTTTAAAACTAGTTAAATGCAGTTTTAAAGAGAAACTTTTCAAATATGAAGATATAAGAAAAAGAATAGATGTTTCCCCCCCCCCCTTCTCTCTTGTTTTGTTTCGTTTTGTCAGAATGACAAAAGCAGCATTACACCATTGCACAGAATGCTCTACCACTTCTAGGTGGGCATGTAACACAATGATACATGTAGAAAAGGGATGAGTCTGGATGACCAGAATTTCCTTTGCTAAGCAAAGTAAGTGTTAAGGGAGTCATGCCTGATTTTACAAACTTTTTAGCAACAGTGGATAAGGGAAATAAGGCCGTTGTTGAGAATTATGCAGTCATTAAGCAAATCTGAATCCCCCTCCCCCATTGACTTTGCTTGTTGGAAGCCAGCTGAGAAGATTTCAAATGGCAACCACACAACCCCAAGATGCTCCAACTGGTTGTAAGCACATGCCAGTAGCCAGGCGCTCTAATTTTGATCACATGGCCAAGTGGATGCTGCAACACTTATAAATGTGCCGAATGATTGTAAATGTTTTTTTTTTCCAGTGCTGTTATAACTTTGAACAGATGCTAAATAAATGGTTGTTAAGTTGAGGACTATCTGCATCTTTTTGATTGGAGGCATTTGTCTTTGGCTGCCATTGTTTTTTTTCCCCCTCATCTGTTTTGCTTCATTTTAACACCTAGAGTTACAACTGTGAGATGTGAGCTATATAATTTGCTATAATAAATGAATAAAATATACTCAAAGCACATATTTCTAAAATATTTTATTATTTTTGAGGGCCTAATACATTAAGTGATTATAACTGTGGGTTCATATTTCTTTGTTACCAATATCTAGTTATCAATCATGATTTTTTTCCTATCAGTCATGCATAATCCTTTATAAAATTTACAGTGCTGACAACCAGGGATGGTAAAACTTTGTACAGTAAAATCCAGAAAAAGTAAAAAAAGATATATTACCTTAAAAAAGCAAAAAAGCAATTAATATAGAGGATGAATGAATATATATATTACAATGTTTTTTTTATGTGGCTACTGAATATAGTAATATACTTTTACATTTAGGATAAAAATTTCTTCACAAGTTTAAGTATTTTATATGCTCCTTTACCTCTAGGTTCAAGGTAGATTAACTTCAGCCAGATCAATTGTAACAGGGTCTTTCAAAATGTCACTATTTGTCCATCTAAATCCACATAATACATTACTTTTCAGAAATTACCATGAATTTTTTTCTGTGAAAGTCTCACCCAGATTCATATCATACTTGAACTGTTCACGTAGTTATACTTAATAAAATATCTCCCGCAATTGTTAACAGGAGATCTCTTAGGCAAGGGTGAGCACAAAAAAGTACAAGGAGCAAATCATAACTAAGAGAGCCCAAGATTAGACTAACAAAGCTGAAATGATCATCAAGGACTAAGGTAATACAGTCCTTTTAAGTACGTACTGTATTATAACCCCTTTTTAATCCAGTTACAATTGTTCTCCTCTAAAAGTAGAGGAATAATCTTGTAGAACAGGGGTGTCAAACTGCCAGCCCAGGGGCCGGTTGCATCATGTGGAGGCCGTGCCCACCCCAGCTCCAGCAATGCGAAAACAGTCATGATCCGTCAACGAGTTTGATACCCATGTTGTAGAAGGAATGTACCAGCCATTACAAATACATGAGATCAACCTGGAAAGGGGGGGAGAGGTGAAAGAATAAAATTAGGAATGTCCTATCTTAACAGAATAACAAAGTTGGAAGGTACTTTGGAGGTATTTTAGTCCAACCCCTTGCTCAAGCAGAAGACCCTATACCATTTCAGACAAATGTTTATCCAATCTCTTCTTAAAAACCTGCAGTGTTGGAGCACCTACAACTTCTGGAGACAAGTTGTTCCACTGATTGTTCTAACTGTCAAGAATTTTTTCCTGACTTCCACATTTCTCCTGAGTTCTAGGTTGCTTCTCTCCTTGATTAGTTTCCATCCGTTGCTTCTTGTCCTGCCTTCAGGTGCTTTGGAGAATAGGTTGACTCCCTCTTTGTGGCAACTTTTTAGATATTGGAACATTGCTATCATGTCACAACCTAGTCCTTATTTTCATTGAACTAGACGTACCTAATTCCTGCAACCATATGTTTTAGTGATCAGTCCCTAGTCATCTTTGTTGCTCTTCTCTGTATACTTTCTAGAGTCTCAACATCTTTACAGTAGTGTGACCAAAACTGGATGCACTATTCCAATATTTAAAGTGGTATCTTAAATTCTTTGGTATAAGAAAAAGGGAAAGCAAGCTATGTCATTAAATTTTCAAGATTCCATGGTAGCACTTTATTGTTTTATAACAATAAAACAGAGTTGCATAACAGTTGTGATAGTTCTGTTTTCCTGATCTGGCCTAACTCAGAAGACTGAGACTAAAGCCACTTTTCATTAATTTAAAACTACCTTAGGAAAGTGTGAATTTCAAACCTGAAGAAATTAGCATCTTTTGCATTTTGACCTTAAACAGGCAGAGCTGAAAAAAAGAACAAGGTATGTAACAAACCAAACTACAGTTTATTATTATTATTATTCTAACACATTCCTAAATGCAATGCTATTAGTTATGTTAACCAAGGCTCATTCAGCTGTATATTCTCCAATGTCATTCATGTCATTAGCCCTCCAAAATGCCTTTCTGCTGTTCACATTAGATAAACTGAACTGTCTATAGCAAGATAATGAACATAAATCATATATTAAAATGGGAACCGAAAGAAACCAGAGGGAAATGTTTTGCTATCGTGGTGGGAATTAGTGATGACTTAAACAGCTTTTGACATAAAAATGTCAATATTCCTGTAATCTCTGTTTTTAATATATTTTCTGTGACCTAGTTTCCCCCTCAGCTTTGGTTATGAAGAAGCTATTTAACATAAATACTATATTATTAGCAATTTCTAATCCTTAGGATATTATGTAAGCAATTGCTGTTTCAGCATTCAAAAAGAACTATAACACCCTGATTAAGTGAAGAACAGACCAAGTTTAGAACTAATAATCTGATGAAATCTGGTTTCATGAATAATGAATGTACAGCTGATTCATACCTAACTATATAAATGCTTTTTATATGCCTCAGTAAAAAAGAAAATTACCATAAAGGCATACAAACACAAACACACTTATAAATGAGATACGTATGATTGTAGAAAATATTATTAAAAATATTTGGAAGATAGGAGAACTGAAATGTTAAAATGGCATATTATGACTCATTAGCTAACCCTTCCCAAGATCTTGAAGTGCTTCAGAATTCCATACAAACAGTCCTTGACTTACAACCATTCATTTAATGACAGTTCAAAATTATGGAGGCCTCAAAAAAAGTGCCTTACAACCCTGCGGTCGTATGATTGAAATTCCATGCTTGGCAACCAATTCACATTTATAGTGGCTGCAATGCCTTGCAATTATACAACTGCGATTTCTGATCTCTCCACCCAGCCTTCTGGCAAGCAAAACCAACTGGAGAAGCCAGATTTGCTTAAGGGCTATATGATATGCTTAATGAGCCTGGTACAAAATGTTTGCTATTTGTTTACCTGTTTTAATTAATTAATTTTATTTATAAAAAATTATTTGCCGCTCATCTCGTATCATGACTCTGGGCAGCTTACAACAATTAATTTCTTAGTTTTTTCTAAACAGAGAAATAATAAAAGATTAATTTAAAGTTTCTATGCAAAACATGCACATATATCAAATATCTTTACTATGAACAAAAAGCAAAATAACCACGTATAAATTTCAAGTTTGTCTATACACTCAAAGCAAAACATTTCAAGATCCATCTGTAGATTAAAGCAAATTCTATACTCAACTGTTGCTTTGTAACAGGCCTCCTAATCTGCTCAAGGCGTTTACAAATTTCTAAAGTTGCAGCAATATTCACCAAAAGATTGGGGAAATTTCAGGGTTGAGATTAAATTCTGAACTTCAGAAAACAAACGAAAAAAATAAATAAAAACGAAAGCTTAATCTCATTGTGATTTCTACTAACTTCTGTCTTGACAGGGATTACTTCTCCCTTTTCTTTCATTCTTGTCCTCATGTGCAGAACACCCTGGTCTCTAGGATGCTAAAGAAATCTATTTGGGGGGAAATGGGTGAGCAATGTCGGAATTTGTGTGTTGTATTTTAACTTGTTATGTATCTGAATTTTTTTTCTTATGATTGTAATGAAAATAAAAAAATAAATTAAAAAAAAAAGAAATCTATTAAGGTTTTCTTTTCATGACAGTATTATGAACTGCTATCGTGGGTGGCAGCATTTAAGGGACTCTTCTGCTGACCATCATTCTCTCCTATGCATTTGTAAAAATCAGTATCTATTTTGGAAATCATTGGATGGAATCTTTGTTTTTTAGGAAAATGTTACCAAAGAGGTAACTTAAAATTACTTGCACATTAAATGACTATTATACAGTTGCCTAGGGAAAAAAGCTGAATAGCGTATTTATGTACAGAAAGTCTTATATAGGATATATATTATATTATATTATATTATATTATATTACATTATATACTTTAAAAAACATTCATTTCAAAAAGATATATGGATCGTAGATCTACAATCCATACATCGATAACTGCAGAAATTTCCATTTAAAATTCCCCTTAAAATGTGACAACTGAATACAGGAGGTAATTGCACAGACCTGATTTTGGCTGATTCTGAGATTTCTACAAAGTAAGTTTAATAATTTCACCCATTGTTTTTCTTGCTTCCACGAACTTTGTTTTCCTTTCCTCTCTGCCTGCCACCTGGTAAACAGTCTGACATTTTCACTGCTGGGAAGCTGGGCCTTGAGGATTCAATCTGCTTTGATATTACCCCTCCCCTCCCTCCGGATTTCCCCTTTGTTGCTTAGAAGCTGCAATATTATGAGTATGCTTATGCTCTATTTTGAAGTAGACAGATAACTACTGTCATCAATTTCCCCAGAGATTTCACAATTCACTATGTTATCCGATTATTTTTAAATCCCATGAATGAATTATTATTTTTTCCTCTAGAAGAAATTCTGTGTAAGAGAGAGTACAACAATGTCACTGTTGTAATACTTATTGATCTTGATATGCTAAGAGATACAACTGGAGAAAGGCAGAGGGGAAGAGTCCCCTGTGTATCTAAAATAATTGGAAGATATTAGATTTTGCTCAAATTATGTTTGTTTCAACAGTTACATTTCATGGACCACAGACAGGTCATAACCCTTCCTGTTAAAACACAGTTTTTGCACTTCTCCCCTTCAACCACAATCACCTGTACATGTGTGAATATACAGTATGTTCAAACATATGCATCAAGTAATCTGTTCTTACAATGAACTTGGGCAGTACCTTTAAATGAAATAGAAACAAATTAGATCTTGGAGATGGGAATTCAGAAAGGTCCACTATATAGATCAGTGGTGGCAAATCTATGGCACGGGTGCCAGAGGCGGCACTCGGAGCCCTCTCTGTGGGCACATGTGCCATTGCGCCAGCCTTGCCTTCCCCGTGACTCCCTCCTCACCAGCAGCCCCCCTGGAGGAGAGTTGCCCCCGAGTGTGGCCCATGCGGAGCAGTGAAGCCAAGAACATGGCAGCCAGGCAGCATAGACAAGACTCTGCTCTCACGGCCTATCCCACACAGTTGATGCTGTGGGGTGCGAGCAGAGGGTGTGGCCGCCATGGCGCTGCTGGGCGATCTGCAGTGGGCCCTGGAGGCAGTGAGTAGTCCTGCGGGCAGGTGAGATGGGGCGGAGCGGGGGCAGAGCAGGGGGTGGAGTGTGGTGGGGCCAGTTTTTGGGCACTCGGTCTCTAAAAGGTTTGCCATCACTGATATAGATGCTGTTGCTAATTTCTTATTCACATAAACCCCCCTCCGTGTGCAATGTAGAACCCTACCCAGTCCTTCACAAAACTCTTCTCAACTTACTTCAGAACCCATTATTTTTTAAAGGTTTCCTGGAAACAAGCAAACAAAAATCCTTAATATTTAATGGGCGATGTATATTTCCTGTTTCTGGGAACAGGAAGGTAGGAAAGATTTGGCAGAATCAGGAAAGGCTCTGTCAATCTCCAGTAATGTTAATATGACAGTAATGTCATAAATATGTTTAGGAATCCTATTTTGGGGGATGGATTTATTTGTCTTACAAACTGAATTGGAAAGATAAATGTTTGTAGTCATCCTCATCTCTTTATACAGCCCAGGTGACATAGGGAACTAGAAATCTCATACATTTCTGCAGAATATGATCTGAAGCAGATTCACAATATTTATTACTAGTTAAGGATAAGCCAGCATTTGTCTTTAGCCAGTAGGCAGCATTGCCAAATATTCCTCTTTCCAAAAGAAAACAATGATTTATTATTTTTAATAAGAGAAGTGAACATGGAGAAATTTTCAGGAATGGGACACCTTTAAAATCCATGTAAGTAGAGGATTTTTCAATTCATTTATGTTACTGCTATTCAGTAAAATATGAAGAGTTATTTATTGGGCATAACACAAATTACATCATCTCCATTCTCTGTTCCATCCAATATCATTATTATAATGAAATTCTGCTAAATAAACATGCAGAGATTAACCATCTCTCTTGCAATCTGAAATTCTTTGAGGCACTGGTATGATTTCAATTTTACTTATCAAATTT